ATTATATGACAATGATGTATAGTAATGCATATAGACCTAGTGAGTGTAACGGGTTTCGTAGTACATCCTCAACAGATAAGTTACAAGATGCAAGACAAACACGGTTTTGTTTGACACGTGTGCAAGAGGTGCATACAGAAGTGAACTGTGAACCGGTGAGCAAGTTCAGTGATAAGCTAAATGTAAACTCCAGGTCTGACTCCGAATTGTGTGACGATAACGTTGTTGTGAAGAAGTCTGTAGTTGCAACTGGTAAGCCGTTGTTGAATAGAGTGTCACAGAATAGAGTTACTGCTTCAGAGTGGAGTTCTGACTCCAAAAGTTTACAAAGTATAACTAGTCAGAGTGAAGATATAAAACATTTAATGATTTGTGAGGAGGAACCAAAATTGTCTACTTCTGTTATTAAAGAGTTTGAAAATGATGAAGTTGACGGTAAAGTGAATATTCGTGATAATGATCATGATACTTCACAGTTGTATTTGGTTGATCATTATGAGATGAGGGATATGCCTACTACTGCTAGGTTAAATAAAGGTTCTGTACAACTTGAACGTGAAGTAGAATTGAACGCAGATGCAGTTCCAAAAGGTGTGCATACTTGTGAGACAGTCAGTGTAATTGATCAGCGTGTAGCCCACCTATCATCAGATGATAGTGCTAAACCCGAACTAGTAGTGAAAGACAGCAGTGGTGGTAATCTTGCAGTTGGACAACTATCTGAGAGCCGAACAAGAACAGCTTCTGATCCACCACTGCGTTCATCACCTTGTGTCACTCAGTCATCTTTGGTGTTTTCATCCACAATGAAACAGATGCCCATCAACTCAAGTATCTTCTGCAACGACTATGATAGTATTGGTGAGTTTGAAAAGACGAAAGATATTGCTCAGTTTAGTGAGAATAAGCCAAGTGTAAACGAGAGAGTAATTGTTAAATTGACTTGCATGAATAAAGGCATTTCTAGTTTCAAGTTACTAATTGAATGCTATTATCTTTGGTGTAAATTACTCTGTTTCTACACTTGGTTGATGAGATATGCCGTGTGTTTGCTCGTCATCTATATTCTACGATACAATGACATGAGCGTGTTGCCGTTCAGATTTGAGGATATAGCTGATAGAAGGAAGTCTGCAAATGAACTCTGCGACGATTTTCCAACCTAGAGCGTCAACCTGAGAAGGGTTGTAGGCGTACTGCTGTAAGTCCTAAAATTCTTCAAAGGGTAGCGCATCAGTGAGCAGTCCAATGTGTTTGGTGTGTGATTTTGTACATATGTTCATATTGTATATACTGAATTGGTATCATTTATCATCTAGCTGTTGGTATTTCTGTTTGTGTCCGGACATTCCACAACTTACAATCGTCAACCTGAGAAGGGTTGTAGGCGTACTGTTGTAAGTCCTGCAATTCTTCAAAGGAATTCCACCAAGACATGATCGGCGAGGTTGTTTGTACAATTTGTATATACGTGTGGTGTGTCATAGCAATTGGTGTATTTTGGATTCATTGTGTTTACTTGTTGTTTTCGTATCTTGTTGTTATTGCGTAATTTTGTTAAAATTTTCGTCGTGATTACTTCTGAAGTTGTTTCGAGTCTTCTACATCCATGAATGAATTGGTTGATGTTAAGGACAGCAGATAGTCGTGTACGCCGGGGAGGCTAGGCTATTGCTGAGAATGAAATGCACACGGAGATAATTGTTAGCTGCGGTCCGACACGCCGGGGAGCAATAGTGTAAACGACTGAGGCTCGCATGCGTCACCGCTACTAGAACTGAGGCAGAATGAGTGACAAGCGATTGCAGTGGTAACTGGAAGTGAGTAGATAAGACGATGTGCGTAGAGTATCATGAGGTGGTGCTATGGTCACGTTGCATTCTGCAAGAGTCATTCTAGTAAGTGGCGATTGTGTTGCAAGATGTTAAGAGGAGGTCTCTGTCTGGAGGCGCAGGTCGTCATTGATGTGTGAGATTGTGCTGTGGGTATGCTTGTGGTGTGTTGGCTTTTCTGTTTGTTTTCCATTTCAGCTCTGTCCGTGTGACCCAGGTTCTCGCAATGGCATCCAAGTCAACGTGCATTGGTCGTGAAGGAAAAAAGGGTTGCATCCCTTTTTTGCCGGGGAGTGTCAATGAAGTTGAAGATTGAACGATCAATTCTTGGTTGTTTGCTTAAAATCAACTTCCCCAATTTTCGCGGAGGCATCAATACACCAGTCATCGTCTCATCGGTCGCTGTTCAGAAAGAAGAGTGAAACATCGTCAGAAGTAATACAGAGATTTATTATTGTAATATTTGTTTTCAGACCTTAGTTCACTTATTCTTTTTATATGTTGGTGTAACAATAAAGAAATCTCAAGCGGCCAATCGGTGTTTTGGTTTTTCGTCCGTTATAACTAAGCGTTTCTGAAATCTTCAAGGAACAGCGTGGGCCCGAGCGTAGCGAGAGCTGGGCATTAACGGTTTATGAGACGTGATTGACAGTTTCTTTCTAAACTTAACCACTTTTTGCTTGCTATCTCCTGTCAGTGTGTTCTCCATATGGCGACTTAAACTTTAAGGTCAGCATGAGTTTACTAGCCATTTTTCTAGATAGAAACCACAAACAGTTCAATGAAATATCTTGAGCAGTAAACATCTAGTGATGAGAACAGTCATGGCATAGCGTACGAGAGGTAGATGGATCACAACATAGCCATAAAACTGAGATTCTAATGGAATAGAGCGCAAATTCTGACGCCTAGAAGTAAGTACTGCCGAATCCATCAACTGGGGATGTCTGTTCACTACGCTGATAAACTGCCATCTGTATGGACCTTAAGGCAAATGCACATAGGAGAATTTCAGAATGTTATCGGCCTATGCTGACGACAAACAAAAAATAGTTTGCAGATATTGATTACTGGGTAGCGGTACATGATGCCCAGACTGTAAAGTAACCGATAACAGCCTGGTATATCAGTTTCAGTAGGGAAGACCAATATTTGACCATGTGGACGAATGGCACGGTTCTATTTCTTTGTAGAATACCAGATGAAAATCTTTAACCTGTTCCTTGTAGATTCATCTTGGGGAGATTCAAAGTAGCGACTCGTTAGTTAACGTCATAGCTGTTATCGGCATTCGATAGAAAACACCAGGTATAGCTCCAAAAGATAGGGCAATCGAGCCAACATTCTTAGGGAAATCGTTTCTACAGGGCATCTACAACACAGCTTGCTACGGTAAGTAATTTAGGGGTTCAGAAGGATGGAATGAATGATCGAGTAGGAACTATTTCTTCCTTATCACCTTAATGATGAATGCCTTTCCGCTTGTTTGACTAAGTTTTCACGCTCTACTTGCCCTCTACCATGTTTTCGAAAATCAAATCAAAAAACAATTAGTCCTCTACAATATCGGTAGTTGCTTGCCAGTAATTTGAACATTTGTTTCGACAAAAACGTCAGTTTCTAAATACGGTTGAGCAGCTGTAAGAGTTACTAGTTAGACCGACGTTAAGAACAGCCAGAAAACCAGGTCTCGTGGGCCACTCCAAACAGTGCGGCCAGGGCTGAGGTCTAGTAGCAAAGATGGTCACACGATAATCACGAATGTTATCGCCGGTTAAAGCCAACTAGGAGCGAGCTCGAAGTGGTTCAAGCAGCCTAATTAACTGGTTCCCTGGAACGTCTCCTTTTAACAGTGCGTCATAGGCTTCATTAATCATGCCTTTACCTGAATACCACAAATCGACAAATGAGAAATGCAATTAATTTGACTTCATTAAATATGAAGTGGGACAGCTAAGTCACGACGTCGTATGGTTGTCAGTGTTGTAATTGTTTATTTTTTATGAACCACTGAGCCTCCATTTCGTATAGACTATCAAAGATATTGGCTGTGATAGGGCTTCATTGCTGGTGAAAGCAGCATTACCACGTTACGTTAACCAAAACGTAGTCTTAAGGAATCTGCATACATGTCACCTCGAAGATATACTGTTTCTTGATGATTCCCCACACATCTGACATCCGCAATATCACAATCTTACACACCTATTTAAAGACAGAAATAGCTGTGGTTGTCTGTTGCCGTTGATGCAAATCAATACCGAAAATGATACACATTAGTCAGGAGTACACATTTGTACGGTCAGGAAGACTTCCATTTACTTGAATGTCAACAGAGGGGCGTAACGTATGCAGTATATCTTTGTCATTAACCACTCGCTTAATTGTCGACACTGAGAACTGCCGGCACTGGAGGTGCAGTTTTCTAGCCTCAAAGAACACGGCGAATTATTACGTGTCAGGTAACGTGTAGAACAAATCATCGAACGGCTGGTATAATAATAATAATAATCACTTTATTCCAGTCACTCTAAGCCGACCACCTAGCATAATCTTTTGACACCGTTCCAATGGTTTCAGAAGATTTCATATGTATCTTTGGAAATAATCTCTTTTTGAAATATCTCGGCTGAGTAATCCACTTTATCCTGGTCTCTGACTCAGTTTTACACCTTTATTTATATCCGTTATAGTAATTCTACATCGTGATATTTTCCAACATAGTCCTCAACCAAAACGTGAAACTAATCTATGGGCAGGTCGTATACCTCAAATAGCCACCTTGCCACTATATAAACATTTGAGAAGCTTCACTAGCAGATGATGGTGCTTTTAATGGACTCTTGTAATTTTGATTCTCGTTAAACCCATAACAGGATGTCCATCGTATGTAATGTTGTTAGACGTGTTGGTATGAATATAGGCCAGTTGATGAATTTACTAAGCATCGTCGATTAAATTGCCCGGAGATATGCTACACCGGTGAACCACTGCATTGATAGATGGGCAGTGTAGGTCGAAGTAGGATTACTTTTGAAAAAGATTTAGAGGTAATCAGATAAATAGAGCATTTAATTGAAGTCTTGGATAAATGATCTGAGTCACACAGTGCAGTGAATCCCCTGAATAAAGTTTTACTGTATAAATATAACGTACCCTGCAATAGTTTGATGTTGCGAATACAGGTTGGAAACTTTGTAACTATCATGAACACTTGAACGTATTCCTAACAAGTTTTGTTTTACTTCGTAATTGTGGTTTGACCACGCGGTGTGCACCTCGTTACTTTACTTCACTGAGATTGCAATGGCGTCAACTAACGGTGGGACGGAGATATCTCAAGCAGATAAAAATGTTGAGATGTGGCGTATCAAAAAGCTGATCAAAAGTTTGGAGTCTGCCAGGGGGTGAGTTGTAATAACAGGTTTTACGGGGTAGTAATGGAACGAGTATGATTTCTCTTATCATCCCTCCGAAGGATCAGGTAACAAGAGTTGCAAAACTGTTAGCTGAAGAGTACGGAACAGCTTCCAATATAAAGAGTAGAGTGAATCGACTATCTGTTTTGAGTGCCATAACGTCAGTACAACAGCGACTGAAACTGTATACAAAGGGTGAGTGACTTATTTCAATCGTCTGACTAGTATGCAGTTCCCACAAATGGGCTTGTTGTTTATTGCGGCACTATAGTTACTGAAGATGGCAAAGAAAAGAAGGTCAATATTGACTTTGAGCCCTTCAGACCAGTTAACACTTCTCTGTATTTGTGTGATAATAAGTTTCATACAGAGGTTTGTATATATTCCTCACATTAACAGAGGATAGGCTCTGGTAGCTCTGCTGGCGGACGACAGCAAGTTCGGCTTTATTGTCGTTGACGGTAACGGTGCATTATTTGGAACGTTGTCGGGGAACACTCGGGAAGTCCTACACAAGTTCACAGTGGAGTTGCCGAAGAAACATGGACGAGGAGGTCAATCTGCGCTTCGTTTTGCACGTCTGCGAATGGAAAAGCGGCACAACTATGTCCGAAAGGTCGCTGAGACAGCCACTCAGCTTTTTATTACAAACGACCGTCCAAATATTGAGGGACTTATTTTGGCCGGCATAGCAGATTTCAAAAGTGATTTAGGGCAGTCCGATATGTTTGACCAGGTGCGCTGATTAGTAATTGTAACTTACCTTCCAGAGGCTGCAAGCGAAATTGATAAAGATAGTTGACATTTCTTACGGTGGTGAAACAGGGTTCAATCAGGCTATTGAACTGGCAACGGATGCATTAACAGGCGTCAAGTTCATCCAAGAAAAAAAGCTAATTCAAAGATATTTTGATGAAATTTCACAGGTATATTGTGTAACATTCCTTTAAACACTTTACAGGACAGTGGTAAGTACTGTTTCGGAGTCGACGATACGCTTAAATCTTTGGAGATGGGAGCCGTTGAGACTCTTATCGTGTGGGAAAATCTAAGTGTTAATCGCTATGTTCTCAAAATGCCTACTTCAGAAGGTAAGTCAGTGTAAAGTTTCATTCCTCAAATTACAATTAACGTCTGATGTCCTCAGTGACAAATATTAATAAAAGGTGGTACTGAGTCTCTTAAGAGAATTGAGATGAATGCCGCCATGAACATAATTGTGAGTCGTACCTTGAGGTCTCGCTACGTCACTCTATAGTTCACACATAATTAAATCTCGTCACTGCATTATCCTGTTAGCTAGAAGTTGCTGGCAGGCAGTACAAGTGACGTATAACAAAGTTTAGACCATTCTTGATGCACACCTCAGAGATGGGATGCTGCATAAAGGCGTGGTCCGACATTCAGTCTCGGCCAAAATTATATATGCTTCTTCCTTTCAGAGAACCGGGTTATTCACCTTCGACCTGACCAGGAAACAGATCGTCGACATTTTATCGATCCTGAAACAGGTTCTGACTTGGAAATCCTCGACACTCAACTTCTCTTGGACTGGCTAGCGCTCAATTATCGGTCGTTTGGGACTACTTTAGAAATAGTCACGGATAAGTCACAGGAAGGAGCTCAGTTTGTTCGTGGTTTTGGGGGCATTGGTGGTGAGTTTGCTACGTCTTGTTTTCGCATTGACATATGTATACGTATAAATGTGCGCATACAGATGAAGGTTTTCAAATTTTTCAGGTACAATCTTGTTGGTACTAGTTGTCGTTTGCCTGAACATTTTTCAATGTAGGGACGCACTTATAGCGACTGTGGCGTATAGTTGTTATCAGCAGACGTATACGGAAATTAAGTAGGATGATTATGATTCTCAATATGGTTAGTGAGATTCGACATAAATGCTTATGCGAGTAACTTGGTATACCTATGTTCTTAAATGCACTATCTGTACTATTTCGCTGGTTAATAAAGTAGTCGTCCGATAAGCTGTCATTTCACAGTTGGTAACGTGATTACCCCTTATTATAGCCCTTGTGTAAATTATTAAATAAAGATATTTACAGTTAATATTAGTGTTGGGTGAGAAAAATAACGAGGCTGTGAAGCCAGTCGACGCAGGTGTCTTTTTCTCCATCATCACGATTACAGAATTCCACGATGAATAAAAGTGTTAGTGGTCAGTGAGATAAGAATAAACGTACTGGAAACATTTGCTAACCTAGTAATTCAGCTGCTGTAAACGAAGGTAATGAAAAATGAATTCCCCGACCCCTTGACTTGTGTGATAATAGTCTGTCTGTTTTCGACATAGAACTTTGCACATATATAGATAATAGGATTCTAAGAAGGTTCGTTTGAAGTTATCGTTATTGATAACTCCACAATTAAGAATAATAACCAGGTGTTCACTTGCTGGCTCCCACTGAATACCATAGAAAATATTGATGTTATCTCATAACTTAATCAATAATCAATTGTTTCCAACTATTTGTTTTTTAACGTCCAGAGGGCCCCAACCCGGAAGTCTACACCTTCCTCCGTGGCTAAGACTAACTGTTGAGGATTTCAATTAGTTCAAGCCACATAGACTTCCGGGTTGGGGTCCTCAGGACGAAAAAAACCAATGGTTGGAAACATTTAGTGATGTCTCAAAGTCTTTCTCAATAACGCAGATGCAAAACTATAATTCTTCGTTATTACTACTCCTTTGTCTCACACCTCTGTTTACTGTCTCCATTATGCATTTCTTCTCTTGCTTTGTGTGCTATATGGAGTGCGGCGATTCGAACTGTCGCCCATCGGTGCAAAGTTCTATGTCAAAAACAGACTGGCATAACTTAATCGCTGTCTAATTGTGGGGTAGTAACCCCAGTACTCTTGAGAAGTATATCGACATTTATGATTGGTCGTTTTATTTAATTTTGCAGGTATTCTGCGCTACCAAGTAGATTTCAACCACTTGGCGGGTGGTGATGTTGATTTCGAAGATGACTTCAATCTTGATGATTACTGACAAACCAGTCCAACCTGCGGTTGGCGCAGGTTGCCTTATGGCCGTTCACTATGGTTGGTATGCGGTCTTCTATGGAATGTTCACATGGATGATTTTTGCAGAATTACGAAAGTGACTTATCAAGACTACACTTATTTTGATTGCTGTGTTATCGAATAATTCATTATCTCTAATTTCTCGTGTTTGTTTTGTGTCGAATTCAATAGAATAAAGTGATTTAATCACTGATTAATTCGTGTAGTATAGATGAAGTATTTAGATTCGAAGTGTTGGGGGAAGTGTGTATATTAAGTTGGTGCAGCGAGGAGGGCTGTTACTTAACGGGATGTAATTCAGCAGCGGACCAACTTGCATTCTATAGGAAATAAAACTTGCGTTATTGACCTGTTCATTTCATATAAAACGCTAACAAAAAGTAACCCTGCTTAATTTCATACATAGGTTCTTTGTTTAGATGTAAGCCTGAGTAGGATGATATGTCTGTCTGGATTCAACATAGAACTTGACACCGAAGTGCAGCAGTTCGAGTTGCCACGTTCCAATTGGCACACAAGGTAGACAAGAAGATGAGTGAAGAGAATCAATAGAGTTTGACAAATATAAGAGTGAAACAGAGTGGGTAATTGTAGAAAGGAATATGAAAGATTACAGAGACTGAATACATCTGCGCCATTGACAACGATTTTGAGCCATGTCACCTACTGTCTCCAGCCATTGATTCCTAGAGTCCCGAGGGCCCCAACCCGGAAGTCTGCATCTCCCTACCTGACTCAGTTTAACTGTCAAGGATCTCATGGATTGATGCCATGTTTTTGTTTGGCCACCACTGGCTCTTTTCCAACCTGAACCTATATCAGCTAGCAAAGCCCGTCGGGGGAGGCGGTGGTTAGGCATGCGCAGCACGTGACCTAGCCATCTTAGTCTATGTAACTTTATAGCCTCGTCGATTGATTTTCCCTCTTTGCCCAACACTCTACGCCTAACGTCAACATTACTTATCTTGTGAAACCACCTAACGTGAGACAGAGATCGCAGACATCTATGATCGAAAGCAGTCAACCTTTTCATGTCTTCAAATGATATGAATGTATATATACGTCTCAATCAATAAAGATTTGCGTCTAAGTTAATTCATCTGTGTACCTAATGTCTCGCCTACTGTCGAGTGCATGGTGATCTGTGCTCTTACAACTACTTGGTGTTCTTCACATCCGTAGAGGATTATAGATTTCGACGAAGAGTGTAATAAAAGAAATTAATCAACTCAATTATCAAAACAAATTAGGCCCATTGTAGGTCCACTGACTGAAAAAGCTGTCTGTAGTGTTCAGGATTCAGCAAATGGATTGCCGTTGCTCCTTTGGTTTGAAGAAGTGTGATTCGTATTGCTCTGGCAAGATCACGTATTATGTAGGTATCACTGAAGTCAGTTTGAGGATTCTCTCGGTATCTAGAATCGGTCAAGTATTTCAGTAGAGGGTAGTGTGGGAAACTTTCCTCCTCTGGAGTCGAATACTGTTACGCCTGGATAACATTTTGATTAAGGGTGACGTACATAACTAAATAGGAGCAGGTGAACTGGTAGGTATTCACTGATGAAGCCAACAGCGGTAGCCTGTCTTCCGCGTCCTTTAGGAAACGAATGATTTGTATTAGGTCTCGATTTATATTGAGGTTGGGTGTGGTGGTAGGCTGTTTAGGAACATGAGTCGATTAGACATATTGGAACACGTTACGTATGCCAAGCTGTCGTGCTCCTTGTCGAGGAATGTTAACTGACAGTATTACTCTGAAAAAGAATTGGGAGTAGTGAATTCAAAACATGCCATCAATCTCAGAAGGCTGACTGTTGGTTCATACCTTGGACTGCTGCATTTAGCGCAAGGTTACACATTGTAATGTAGAGATACATGGTGCTATTTTCGCATTCAAAGAAAGCTCTAAATATTGTAATACCTTAGGGAGCCCTTCTGGATGGTGCTGACTTTTTTATTACGTGGGTTCTTCATTGACATTAAGACGTTGAGATTCTTCTGCGGACATTTCTCAAATATGGGACAAAACGGCGCACTCCGTGGATTTTCAAGTTATACTATGGTGTTACCGGAAGACTGTTAGTCTGTGCTACTGAACAAGGTCTAGTACTCGGTGACTAGTGAGGTTTACGGATAACAACATGCAGATTTTGAGATGGTTATCATACAGTATATTGCTGTGGAGCCTTAAGGCTATCCACGAGATAGAACATCAATCCGTTTTACAAATTGGTTGTCCTGGGGACGATTTGACCATCGCTTCTTTCTATTTGCCTAAAAAAGGAGAACGTAAATAAAATGTATGCGTTATATAGAAGGTATTATTCAACCGGAATTATTTATTGACATTTTGTGAGACATAAGGCTCTAAGAAATTCCTCAAGTGTTGACGAAAAGCTGCCTGCTTATGCACTTCGCAATCTTTTGCAAAACTTAAAATCAATACGTCGATTGTGCAATAGTGGTACGGTCGGCAACCAGGCGGTGTCGTCAGGGTCCACTTCCTGCCTTACACATCCCTAGACTTCACTTAGCCGATTGTAAGTCTTTCACAGATGGAGCCTTGGGCTTAAGATTAGCGCACCTACCCTGGAAAAAACGCATCTGTTGAAACTTCAGAGCTCAAGTTTGAGGCCGTATATTCAGATCAGAACACAGAGGAATTGATTAAAAAAATCGACACTTTTTTTTACAAAAATAAGTGGAAATTCTTCATAAATTCTTAAAACATCCATCGAATTGTAAGCCGGAAACAATTTATGAATGATTGGTTAAATGAGGTCGTTTTGGGCATAATTTTTGAATCAATTTTTGTAGTTTAAGATCTAAACATGTTAGTAACCCTTTAATTTAAAATAATCGCCTAACATGTACGCTGATTCTATGAACTGTTTGGATGAAATATGCCAAGTTTGATATAACTTTTGATTTAGTTTATGTCGAAAGTTTGATGAATAGTTAGCAATTTTTACAAGACAATAATTTAGAGAAACATAAATTTCCACCAAGTACCATGTAAAGCAGATTAATTTTCAATGATACTCAATGTCTGTAGCTCTGTGTTGTAAATAGACTGAAGTTAATACCCCTTTTCGAAAGCTAACACCATGGCACATTTACTAACTTGGTCTCCTTGACTCTCTATGACAATTTGCCAATGCATATGTCTGAATTATCCCAAAAGGGAACAAACTAGTTTCAAATGCGCATCGATTTTCAACAGTTTCCCTCCCTAGTGGTCTGATAAAATCATTTTTACGTGGTGAATTATTGATTTATTAGCAAGTCAGAAATTGGAGTTCTGTGAATGACTAACGCGTTATTTACTGTCAATTTTGGACAGAACTTTAATATCGCTTGAATAACCATGCTATCTGGATAGGTGTGCCTCGTGTAAACAATTCAACTGATTAAAAAAAAATAATAATGCTTACTGATGAAGGGTCCTAAACTAGACTGACGAAACAGCTGTCCAGTACTGCTAGGTTTTCCAATGGTTCTCTAATTGACGTTGGCTCATGATGAAATCCTCCAACTAAGGAGACAAAACCAATAATAATGAATAATGACACATCTTTTATCTGGCTAAAGAGTTGTTGTTGCAAATGTAATAGGTTTCGCAAAAGAAGTGTATCTATCCAATGGTGGTCGGAGATTGACTACGAAGTGCGATTCTATGGAATATTTAAAATGGCACATTAAGTAATAATAATGAGTGAATAGCAGTCTTGACAGTTTATCTCCTTTATTATTGATGAAATGGTTGATTTTGTTTCAGTAAATACTTACTGCTACATTACGAATCGCTGTTTAGCAAATGAAAATAGAACAAGGACATTTCAGTAACTTCTTTTTCACTTTCTTATATTTTATTATTATTCTTCCCTTGGGTTCCTAGTGGAACATAGGGCTTCAACTGCACTGCCACTTCTGTCTTCTGCTGTACTTTTCACATGCATCCATGTTAGTCCATACTCTTTCAACTCCTCTTCACACGATCTTCCCCACGTCACCTTTTCACTGATGTCCCACTCACCGCTTCCCTTTCGGCTTGATTCCACTCGAGCAATGGCGTGACGCGCGATGTCACCCAGCGGTCTCCTCAGCGAGTGTCCGGTCCATCTCCACTTTATCCTGCATATTTGTTGGTTGGCGATTTGTTCTTGTTTTGTTTGTTCCCATTGCTCCTTGTTGGTGATTCTTTTCGGCCATCTGATCTTCAGTATAGATCCAGCGAAGACAGTTGTTGATAAAGGTCTGCAACAGGCTGTTGGAAATATTCTTTGTGACCCACCCGCCAAATTTCTGATCCGTATAGAAGAACTGACTGACTTGACGTTTGTATTGAAAATCCGACTGAATTTTGTTGTTGATGCTGAGTTGAGTGACGAAAATTCCCAGATTGGTTTCAGGTTGATGAATGTATTTCTCGCTCGCCTTCCCGATCCTCGCTCGATTTGACATCCTCGTCCGTTTCGACTGACTGTAGTTGAGACAATGCTCGCTAGATAAGTGAATGAAGTAACCTCTTTCAAATCCCTCCCGTTGATGGTGATTGGCGCTGGATGTTGCTGTTGTTGGTTGGTTATTTTCACCACCTCCGTCTTGTCTATGTTCACCTGGAGTCCTGTCTTCGCCGGCTGCTTCTTCGACCATTTTGTCGGTTTTCACTTGTAAAAATTCGATTTTGTGTGACATCAAGCATAAATCATCCTTGCGCGAAATCCAGGTCTTCTAGGTTCTTCGCGTCGGTCCAGGATATCCCTGTCTTCTCGTTTCTCACCGTCTGATGCATAATCCAGTCCACCACAATTAGGAATATCATTGGTGATAATAAGCACCCTTGTCTGACTCCTGTGTTTATTCCAAACGCCTTGCTGAGTTTTCCGTTGTGGTTCACTTGACATGTGCCGTTGTCGTACAGCTGTTGAATAAGGTTGATGAATATTTGGGGTACGCCGTAGTACTCGAGTAATTTCCAAATTACTTCACGATCAACGCTGTCGAAGGCCTTCTCAAAGTCTATAAAGTTGAGGTAGAGGTTTGATTGCCATTCCATGCTTTGTTCGATGATGATGCGTAGAGTTGCAATTTGGTCAGTACATGATTTGCCTTTCCTGAATCCAGCTTGTTCTGGTCGGAGTTCTGTCTCCAGTGCGTCCTTTAATCTCTCCAGGATGATGCGACTCAGGATTTT